ATGTTTGGATGATGTAATGCGTCTGTTTTCGCTTATAGGCCTACGTACACAACGAAATGAAAACTACAAAGTATTTTAATTGTTTTGAATATATAGTATAGATTTTAAATATAAGCATATATGTTTATGTCTCTGGAATGAAAATGTTTGGTGATATATGTTTGAAATATTAAAAAAAGAAAGATGCTTGGTAAAAAACAGTCATCATCATTTTTGCATTTTCTGCAAACGATGAACAGTTGAACACTTTCAAATTATAATCTTCCAGTTCTAATTCTAATTAGAACGCATATTCTAATTGTTCCAGTCTCAACTACAAGTTCATCTGGATGCGCAGATTATCATGCACAATTATCTTAAACTATTTCCCCAGTACTGCTAAGGACAACAAACAATTTATTGTGTAGTGGAGCTAAAGATTAGCCTACTCATGGATCATGATAATATCGATGACTTTCTTTCGTGCGCGATACGTACAGGTATCTCTAATTCACACGCTGGTGCCGTCTCGTCCGCCGACCCTTACTGGGTGATTAAGTATTTACGATTTGCCAATGGAATGGAGAGATGAGTCAGCACACGTTTTGGTGAACCGCCATGAGTAGGCAGTATTAAGTATTGGTTGCACATAATAAAAACAAATAAAACCGTATCCATGCACACTTTGGTAAAACAAGACTTCCCCCTCTCTTGCATTTGCGTGCTAACGAGAACTAATATTCTAATATGTTCAACGATATATGGTCTGGAATGAGGAAACCTATCATGGCGCTTTTTGAAGCATTATATAGTATTAGCATTTTGCACTGATGAAGATCTGGGCTTACGGATCGAAAGCTTAGAATAATAAATAATCGGTTAACAAAGTTATCGGAAACAAGGCTGCAAGAATACTCAGTCAACCGTGATCAAAATATTATGCCTTATATACAAAAACGGTTTAATACGCCGTAATTTGCAACATGACACATTTGTGCATGTTCACCCAGTGTGTTCACCACGGGATATTGCAGGCAATTGCGACAAGTTAATTTAATGATTAGATAAAACAAAAAGTTTTCAACAACGACTCACCATCTCGTTGAAATTCCACGGCAAACGCCACTTGCACTGATTGCTTTCTTCATCATGTTACGCCAAGAGGAAATCTTTCGTTCGTAAAGTAGGATGTAATCCATGTGGTTTCTGAAACAAATCATTATTTATATTGAAGTTATATTTAATTCTGTATATATTCGAATATTTCAAACGTGGGGTTCAGGGGCTATAGTATTGAATGAAAGCATGGAATAGTTAGCTGATAATATTCTAGAAGCGTGGCATATCAATCTGAATGATTGTAGCTACATAGGAAAGACAGTATAGCTCCAGTCAAATGAGGATGGCAGTTGATGAGAATTGATAAGCGAGAGTTTGTGTGAGTGTTTTCTGCGTTACATGACTCCATGAGAGTTGACTGCATTTATCGGACAAACGAGCGAAAACTCTCATGAAATTGGAAGCAGTTCAAAGTTAACGAGAGTTGGCGAGGTCAAACGCGAAACTCTCGTTGCAATTCTCATCAACTTTCTATCTTCCTCCTTGTTGAACAGTGACGTTCTCCCTCGAGCGTTGGGTTGTGTGATTGTATCATTCGATGAGAGATCGCATTCGTTTCCTTTAGAGTAGCGAACACAAGATATCTGAAGATTAACATTTTTCATTCTCTCTACAGCGGTTCAGCACGAAAGAACACCAAGGCACCCTCAACAGCACCAAGGCGTGCCCAGCTTAATGTTCAACATGTACAACAACAAACCTCAGAAAAGAAAACACACTGAAAGCATACGAAGCCTGGAATCAGTGAAAGTGAAAACGAAGAAGGAACCAGACCACAGCCCTAGTTCCTCAGAAGGACAAACGGATTCTTCTCTTAGTCCTTATTCCAGCTCGCCTCTCTCAATGAAGGAGATAGTGTATGAATCATCAATGAGGATTCTGTATGTCTCCATACAATGGGTCAAACATATACCAACATTTAAAGATTTACCTTACAACGATCAGAATTTACTCATGCACCAAGGATGGGGCGAGGTGTTCATATTAGGTATGATATTTGTAGAACTTTGTTTTAACATATTGTCTGATTTGTCTAATGATAAGAAGCAAGGTAAGAAGAGCTGCTAAAAATCTTCCCTTTCACCTCAGAGTATATTATAAAGGTTGCAGCTCAAGCGTGACCATACGATCTAATAGGCGGATCTATGTGTGATCAAGGAGCACAGCTAAAGTGGAAGGGTTAGTTTGTGGCGAGTGGAAAAACCGAACTACACGGAGAAAATATTTTGAAGCATAGAGGAGGACCAACCACAACTGAATAATTTTTCAGCAACATTACGTCACACCAGGGTAGTCACCTATCTACGAAACAACCCCCCCCCCCCCCCCCC